TGTACCATCAGGATTGCTGCCAGACTGCAGACCCGTATATCTCCTTTTTTGGTGTTTTCATGCAAATTCTTCTGCTAGTTGGAGTTTAGTCCACTTCTATATCCTTCCCTTCAAGGCTCAGGGACCCAGGATTATCTTCTGTATCTGTGTTAATTTCCCTTCTCTCCGTTGAAGCGGGTCTGTGCAGTCTTTCTGCCTATTCTGCCATTTAACCCCCATTCTTACTCTTTACTACGAATCTTGCAGGGATGGGAATTTGAAAACTATGTTCCCCAGGCTCCTTTGCCATCTGCTTCTTAATTTCCACTAGAGGAAACCATTTGAGGATATTAGAAGGCAGAATAAAGAAAAGATCTTTCTACTTTAAGTGGTTATTTCATGGCTGTGGCAAGAGTGGTTATAGATGATTCCTCACTCCTGTTGAGGCAGATGCAGTGTCTTCTTGCTAATCTCAGCCCTGCCTGAGGTGGTACCTCATTGGCAGATATAGAATCAACAGCAATAAAAAGGTCATTGGTAGCTCCTGATATTGGTGTGTTTCTCTTTCTTCCTTTTTCCTTCTCAGTGTACTGCTTTATTTCTCTTTTGCTCTTCCATCCCTTCCAACACCTTTGTGATCAATCTCCTGTATTAAATTTTGTATCTCAAATTCTAGGAGCAGTTTCCATTTTCCTGACAGGACACTGACTTATTTGTTGTGTGTTGTAAATATTGACAATTTGAAATAAATTATAAAGTCAACCCTTCAAAATGTATATATTACTATCAAAATCTCATAGCTATTTGAGCTTTCACATTTCTCTAAAAGTTAGGATATTTATATAATTTTCTTTTATTCTTGAGGCATATTTATATTCCTTGCCCCAATAAAAGTTGTTGTCCAAATATAATATAAATAGTATGATTGAAAGTCTTTTCTTGATAACTAACGATACATATTTTCTGATCAAAATTAATAAATTTTATTGAAAATTTGTCCTCATAAACCTTAGGTACAAAATATTTCTTCTGGATTGAGTCATCCTAACATTACTAACTTATTAGGTCAAATTTATTAGATCTACTAATTTATTATGTGAAAAGTAAATTTTATTAGGAATTTGGCTTTTAACAATATTAATGTTCCTCTTAATTTTCATTGAATTTATAGATCCATGGGTTAATCCTAACTATGGTTTAAATGCGATAGGGCTCAGAATCAAAATCTTATTTGTAATTTTTTTTCTTTGTTAATTTTGTAGAAACCTTGCTCATACAAATGTATAGATGTAAATGCTGAAGTTGTTTTTTGTAACAATCCTATTCAAATCTTTTAAATCTTTGTATGTTATATGTGGAAAATCATAGTGATCTGTCATCAAAAATTCTTTTGAATGATCTACTGTTTAAAAATCTGATTATACTTCTTTCTTTCCTTTAATTTTGCCTGTTTTTTTTTTGAATGAAACTATCTGAATAATAAAAGGATTATGACATCTGTGTTTTCCTTGTCCTTTAATTTAATGCTTCACAGAATATTTGTGTCCAGAGTCACATGTCATAGAAAAATTTTACTTTTTATAAAATAAGATTGATTATATAAGAGTGATTATATAAGGAGCATGGGAAAGAATAAAAATCAAAGTCAAGTTTTCAGGTAGATCTTTTTTAGTAAGGATTAGTTATAGTGACTGAGAATATGAAAGCTGTTTTCCTAACAAACTATATGTGCCAGTGTGCCCCTTAGAAGTTCTTCCAGCAATCAATCCTAGGGTATGAGAACCTCACTTTGAAATCTGCTGACTTTAAAGAACACTACCCAAGGAAGGAACTAAATAATAGAACAGTTAGCTTTAGAAATCGTAAGTCTTTTCTTTGTTTTTCTTTTCTTTGTATTCTGAATTTGGTATATATGTTATTTTTTATTTAACATTCTCTCTGGCCCTTTAATTTATGCTTCTTTCTTTTTTAACTGGAAGAAAATAATTTATCATTCAGAAGTTACTCATCCTTAACAATTTCTTATTACTGAGTAGAACATATCCCTCATTTATCTGTTTCACTGAAACATCGTTTGGCCAGTTCTGTGTTCTTATAAATTTTAAGATTGTATTAAGTGCAGAAAATAATGAGAGCAGCAAGACAGATAAGGAGAATAGAGGAGATTTTGCTACATTCTTAGTTTTAAAATAGACTTCGTTTATATATTTTGGGTAATTATTTGCTGCCTCAGGCTGGATTTTCATCTCTGAAAATTATGTATGTGCTTTCAGTTTTAATAAGGTCATTTAACATAAGATCAACCCAACTCTGAAGCCTCAGTGATCTCTCTAAAAATCATCATGGAACAGCCAGACTCTGTACTTGCTTTCTATTACTGCTTCTTGGACTTTTTTTTTTTTTCCTTTTAACGAGATTGCTGTTGTTGTTATGGGCCGTCGAGTTGGCCCTGACTCATACCTACACCTCCTTGGGTTTCCGAGGCAGTATCACTAGGGAAGTAGGATTTTCCAACCTTCCTTCCGAGGAGTGGCTGGTGGGTTTGAACTGCCAGCCTTCTGGTTAGCAGTCAAGTGCTTTAGCCATTATGCTACTAGAGCTCCTAATGAGATTATCTGCCCATAATCATCTTGACAAGTACTCTGTGAGAATTTAAAATTTTCTTCTGGCTTAAAATCTTAAATGTGTTGTTGTTATTGTTGTTGTGTGCCATGGAGTTGGACCTGACTCATAGCGACCCCTTCTTGGGTTTCTGAGGCGGTAGTGGGTAGCGCCTAAGGCACTTGACTGCTAACCAGAAGGCTGGCGGTTCAAACCCACCAGCCACTCCTCGGAAGGAAGATGGGGCACATATACTTCGTAGTTACACTGCCTCGGAAACCCAAGGATGGGTCGCTTTGAGTCGGTCCGACTCCACGACATATAACAACAACAACTCCACGACATATAACAACAACAACAATCACTACAGAAGTAGATTGCCCAACTTTCCTTCTGAGGAGTGGCTGGTGGGTTTGAACCGCCAGCCTTCTGGATAGCAGTCAAGTGCCTTAGGCACTAGCTTCTTTAATCTTCAATTTGTGATTTACAAACCCCTTCACTTACCTATGGGAGCTCTGGTGGCACAGTACCTAAGGCATTTGACTGCTAACCAGAAAACTGGCAGTTCAAACCCACCAGCCACTCCTGGGAAGGAAGGTTGAGCAATCTACTTTCCTAGCTATATCACCTCGAAAACCCAAGGAGGGGTCACTATGAGTTGGATTTGACTCCATGGCAGTGAGTTCACTTACCTATAAAAGAGCTCTGGTGGCGCTGTGGTTAAGGCATTGGGCTGCTAACCACAATGCTCTCAGTTCAAACCCACAAGTTGCTTCTCAGAAGAACAATAAGGCAGTCTGCTTCTGTAAAGTTTTACAACTTTATAAACCTAATGGAGGTAACTATGTGTAGGAATTGATTCAATGTAGTGAGTTTGTTTTTGAGTTGGTAACTTAACAATAAATTATTGGGCAATAACCCAACAGCCACTCCTCAGAAGGAAGGTTGGTTGGGCAATCTACATCTGTGGTGATACCACCTGGAAAACCAAAGGAGGGGTCATTACGAGTCAGGGCCGACTCCACAGCACATAACAACAACAACAGATGGCAGTGGGTTAAGGTTAATTACATACCCTCATATGCAAAATAAAGACATGAAATTAACTGTTTATGTAGAATGTATTACAGTTTCTTTGAGTTTTATGTAATAAAATTCTTTAATGTTTTCAAAAAGTTTATACTGTGATAAGATGTTATTACTATACTGTCAAAACAAAACAAAACAAAAAAACCAGTTACCATAGAGTTGATTCCAACTCATGGTGACACCATGTGTTACAGAGTTGTTGTTGTTGTTGTTAGGTGCCATTGAGTTGTCTCTGATTCCTAGAGACCTTATGTACAACAGAACAAAACACCTCCTGGTCTTGCCCCAGCCTCATGGTCCCTGCTAATCCTGAGCCCATCGTTGCAGCCACTGTGTCAACCATCTTGGTGTTAGAGAGTAGGATGTTCTAAAGATTTTTCACAGCTGTGACCTTTTGGAAGCAGATAATCAAGCCTTTCTTCCGAGGCATCTCTGGGTTGGTCTGACCCACAAGTTCCCATGAGTAATTGAACAGATAACTGTTGGCAACACTCAGGAACTCCTAACACATTGTGCTACTCATTGTATAGGTGGAGAAGCATATTTCAAAAATGCAAGTCATTGGAGCAAGCAGACAATACAAACAAAAATACAGTATCAACATCAGAGTAAGTCTAATGCTTTTTCCTTTAACCGTATCTACTAATTCAAATGTATTTGTTACTATAATAACTCATTAAGGAATTTAACCACTATTTCTAAAGAATAAATTTGTATAATTTGTTTTCCTTGTCTTTACCCTTATTTTAACGTAGTTATTTTTCTGGTTTTGATCATGCATGACCCTTTAGAAATACAAATGTAGGCACTGAGAACAGTGGTTTGTGGGATTGTAGTAAAGGAATTTAAGATAAATTGGGGAGTCTTTAATAAAAGGGATGAGCTTTGACCTTCTCCTTTTTTTACCAAAATTTCTGATACTAATGTTTTCAAATAAAATTTAGTATGTAGCTAGTTTATTAAATAAACTGAACTTACTAAGTTATGATATAAAAACATTTTTGCTGACACTGCCTGCAAGCACATTTTATTTCTTCTCTACTCCATAACTTGGAAACAACTTAGTCAGATACCTAGATTTCTAAATATTTCAAAAATTTCTCTATTCAGCAATGATAGTATAGTCCCCCCCCCACCAGAGTAATTCTACAAAGGTTAACTATTGCACATTCTGAATTATATAGGACAGTAATTTTTCTAATAGTATTGGCTAATATTTCTGCATTCAATACAACCACCTAATGCTTTGCAATACACTTATTTTATATGAAATTGACTTGCAGGGATTACTGCTAAGCCTTTAGATTGGAGATAAATAAATAAATCCTTACCTTAAAGACTAGTTCTCCTACCAGGCCATTCCATGTGCCATCTTCTTGGGGGCTTCCATACTTGTGATCAGGTGCAACATAAATTTCATAGTTAAAACCCAGGTAGTTAGATAAGGCATCCAAAACATCAATGGAGAAGCCCTGGTACTTCTTCGGCTTACCCAAGACATTTTCAGAGACCATTACAAAAGGTTCTTCCTACAGGAAAACAAAAGAAATCCTTAAGGTCAATCTATACTGCTCCCTAAAGCTATTATTCCAAGAGTTTTGCTTACAGTGTAAAAATCATTTTCACCTTTGAGAGAATGAATTTAGGAGTATAATGTGTGCATAATTAATACATCATATTACACCATAAAACAAACATTTGTTTAAGCATCCAATTCTTTGCGATCTCTCACTTATTTATTCTTTTTATTGTCATATAAAAAATTGGATGCAAGTGCCTACAAAAGTTTAGGAGCCATAATTTCAGTGTCCTTGCCATCTCAGGATCTAAGATTCACCAATAATAACAAAATATTTAAGAAACTATGAATTTATCTGTTCATAGGTGTTTAGTGTCTGTATATAACAAAAATATGCAAGAGAATATTTTAACAATATAATCAATGTGCAATCCTCAAAAAAGATCAAAACACTCTAAAAACATGTACTTTAGCAAAAGATGTCACTTACTGGGAGTTATTTGCTAATTAATTTGGTAACTTTGATGTAAACATGCATTTTATTGCAAAAAACAGCTTCTGAACTACTGCTATGAAAAATTCAGGTTTTTTTTTTTTAGTAAATTGTCAAATTTAGTAAATTCAGCAGACTGATTTTTACATGCACATCTTTCATGTTTTCACCTTTTCTGACTCATAATGGGTTTCCTAGCTAGTAAATCATTATGGAAGTACATTGCCCAGTCTTCTTTCTGCAGAGTGGCTGGTGGGTTTGAACTTCCAAATTTCTGATGAGCAGTCAAATGCCTTAGGCCCTGTGCCACCAGAGCTCCTTATAGCTAACATAGAGACCAATTTCACATAGAGCAGCCAGTGTTAAGAGAGTTCAATAGGTTTGAAACATGCTGGCAGAGTAGAAAAAATTAGATAATCTATTCCTTAATTTCCTAAACTTGTTCAGAACTCTTTCAGCAACAGTAATATTTATAGATAACTATTTACAGTGTATATAGTCCATCCAGGCCTCTGGGCAGGGTAAAATCTATCCTTGAGTCCAGGCCAGATGACCAAAAGATTTTATTCTTGAATCATTTTTCCCTAGAGACTCACAAAATAGCCTTCACTGAGATGTAAAATGATACTTTGCTTCTGGCTTTTACTCAAAGACACTAAATAATAGCCTTATAAAAATCACTGCACCTATTATAGGAATATTGTCCAACTTAATCACTCAGTGTTTCCATAAAACTTACCATGATATAAATTTGTTTAATTCTTCAGGATCAAGAGAGTTTCATTTTGTCTTAGCAATACTTTCTTTTTCTTGAGTGTGTTGGGGGGAAGTGAGGAAAATTATATAATAAAAATAATGCAATGTAAGTATTCATTTCTAAGTTGAATACTTACAAGATCAGTACTAAGTTTGATATCTAACTACAAGTATATCGATCTTTATAATAAAAAACAACAAACACAAACTCAA